TAAAGACATTCTCTCAGGTAGAAATGTCTGTAGTACTTTACAGTTGGTTCCCTGGAGACAAGGTGAGCCATACTGGTGATTAAAGAGAAAGAACCTCAATGACAACTACAGCTCCCACCACAGCCAGGCACGAGACTGAACACATTTCATGACTGATGTCTTCGATTGTCACAAGCACTGGGAAGACGGGTCTCATTTGATCCCATTTTACAGATCAAAGTTTAAAGAGGTCAAGAGATTGCTTAAGTCTACCAAGCAAGCAGGCCTTGCGCCTGCATTTAAATCTCTGCTCCTCTGCTCAAAGCCTGGCCTTTTAAAGGCAGCTTCCTTTCTCTACATGAGCACAGATTTTGGGGGATGGGGATTGCATTATTCTAAGCAGCAGCTGTTGCAGAGAATGAGAATGCTTGAAAAGAGCAGCACAGTGTCCTAATTACCTGTGGCAAGGCAAACATCTGTGTGGGAAAAGTAATGAAATTAATTCTAAAGTCTAGCAGTTGCATACATTAATTGACGTTAATTAATGCCAAATTACAAGATACTTCCTATGGAATCGCATCATACACTCACCAGAATTGAATATGGAAAGAGTTCATCATACTTAATGCTATTACAGCAAGCCCCGAGGGGAATAAGAGTGATTGGTCCCTCATTATGAAGCACAGCCAGTTTCTTTCTGTTTCCATTAGGAGGAGAGACGGAACAAACCTGGAGCGCTTTACCAAGGGCAGGCAGCTCCGAATTGATCATTTCCCCTTCAGCTTGCAAATTTCACTTTGAGCCACTCTGAGCTAGAAATGGTTTCCAGACCTCTTCCAGGGGCTTTTCTTGTGTCATCCAGTTATAAATTTCGTACTTCTCAGCCCAAAGATAGGCTCATTGCACAGCTCCATCTCAGTATGTGGCGTGGGGAGGAATTCTTGTGAAACGGATCTCACAGGCCCACCATGCCTCTGACTCCCTCCCTCCCTCCCCCAGCTGAGAGGTGCTGCCCAGAGATTTGCACAAAGGTTGTCCACCTCTCTCACGTCACTGCCTCTATACTATTGTTGACATCTCATATATATCTTTTATTCATTTTTCCCATGCAAGCATACATAGATAGATATCTATATATACAACTTGCACAAAATTGAGTCCATATGCACATATTTTGGTAACCTACTTTTGAAAAACTTTTATTTTGGAATAATTTGAGATAAACAGAAAAGTTACCAGGATAGTACAACTTTACCCCGCTTCCCTTAATGGTCACACCTTATACAAATATGGTCTATTTTTCAAAACTAAGAAATTAACGTTAATGCAATATTATTAACTGGCAACCTATTTTTATAATATAAAATGTATTAAGCACTTCTGGAAATCCTCATATACTCTTTAGAAGCAGGATTTTAATAGCAAACTATGCGTGTTCTGCAGTAGTTATTCCTGTATGTTGTCCGTTTTGTTTTCTCTTTTTTTAATTATCAACAACACTGATGAATATCAAAGTAGCTAAATATTTGCATAGATCATTAATTATTTCCAAGGTAGAAATCTCAGAAATAAACCTGAGGTCAAAAGACACCCTTTTTAAGGATCTTGATCCATATTGCCAAACTGCCCCCACAAAAAATATGTTTACAGGTCTTCTTTTGTATCTAGGTATATCCATAGATACTTAGATCGAAGGCAAAATACACTTAACAAAAATTGGCCCCAAGCTTATGGTGTTTTCATTCAACATAGAGTAGTGGAAATAAACCAACCAACCAAGTTTGAAACCCATAACGCCGTGTCTATAAAACACTATCTCGTTGGGCTTCATTCACTTTATCTGAAAAATGAGTTGACATATTGTACTTTGTAGTATTGATGATTAAATGTACTAAATAAATGTGAACATGCTTTAGAGTACCTGGCACATAGATGTTCCATAACTGTAAGAATCCCTATTCTTTCATTTTCTCCCCAAATCTCTCAAAATCATAATTTCTGTATAGTTGAGTTATAAATATGAAAAGTATATTTTTATATTTTCCATCTCATGCTTCTTCAGGAACCTTTGAAGAGGAGACCGAGGTCTTTAGAAAGAAGCTCTTAGACTCCATTACAAGTAAAACAAGCGCTGTGTATTTATCAAGAAGTCCTCATTAGGTGGCAGTCCTAGAAATTCTAATTGGAAGTTGTATTTGTAATTTGAAGCACCAGACTTCCTAATTAGGAACCTCTGAATCAATTTGGTTAATCATTGTTTTTATTCATTATCTCACATAGCAAGAAGCACAGAGAAAGGGCAGTCTAGGCTCAGTACAATCAGTAGCTCAGTGATATCATCAGGGAACAGGTCCTTTCCATCTCTTTGTCATACTCATTATGTAAGCTGAACTTTAAGACTGGCTCCTCCACGTGGCAAGAAGGCTAGAGCAGTTCCAAGCATCACATTGAGACTCAATGGGGTACACAGGCAGAAGAGAGTCTTCTGCTATGCCTCCTGGTACATCCCTGAAGCCCCTTAAAAGACCTCCTTCACTTCTCACTAGAACTGGGTTTAGATGCACTTTACTTAACCAACCAATGGCTAGGGGAGTAGAAAGACCTTGAGTGGGCATAGACCCAAGAGGATTAATCTTTGCGTATGGGAACTTCTGAGTTACATGGAGGAAGAATAAGGTGACAGATCTAGTATTGGCGTTTCTAGGAAAGACACAGGGAGGAATGAGTATTGGACGGGTCACCAGCAGTACCTGATACGTAAATGGAACTGGAATACTCAAATTCAGTTTAACCAGTCTTTTTAAGGACCTACTATGTGTCCCAAACTGATCTAATAATTGTGAAAGGTAGCCAAAGAGAAAACAGGAATATTATCATTAGTGATAATAACAACTGACGTTTGTGCAAGTTTAAATTTCAAAACATTTAGCATATATCTTATTTCAGTTAATTCTTAGAACCAAACTACAAGATAGTTGACATTGGCATCTCTGTTTCATGGATGAGGGTGGCAAGACTCAGGAAGATGAAGGGAATTCCTTGCAGCTAGTGGTGACCACAACAGAACTCCAGCCAGGTCTCATAGTCACCAATCTCCATTCTTACCATGACCCCAAGCTACCTTTTGAAAAAGAGAAGTCAACTAAAAGTTGTAAAAGGGTCTGATGGAGGGTGAAATTGTGAGGTAAAGATTGTGTGTACTATGGGGGAGGACCAATCTGGGAAGCAACGAGTCCCAGAAATTGTTTTCAAGGAGAAAGATCTTGAGGTATGCCCTAAAATCGAATTGTAAGAATGTCTGAAAAAGGAGATAGGGAAGAGTGAGTGGAAGGCTCTTCTTTAGTGTATCTTTGGAGGTGGTATCACCAGAACTAGAAGGGTTAAAGTACTTGAAAGCTAGCCCCGTTTGTCCCCACCGTTGGCAGCCAGATGGAGGAAGATTGTTGTTAAAGCTCTCCTCCATTAGTCTCCTGAGAGCTTATCAATAACTACATCAGTGGTTGGTCATATGGAGCAAATGTGCGTGCTGCCCCCTAGTGGTGCTCCTGGTAGAATACAGATGTACTCAAGTTCCTTAAGGAAAGATGGTCCTGGAAATTTCCTTGAGGGAAGTCATTAGTGAATCCTTATATCCAACTCGACTCACTATTGCCCACCTTCATTTCATGTAAATAATCATCTCCTCATTTTTTTCCTTTGTAAGAGTGGATTTCTGCATATATCTCTGATGTCATAAAGTCAAACTCAGCACTTATTAGGCATTGAAAAAAAGTGAAATAACTTCCTTTTCATTTGAAAAGATATATACCAATGAAGAGGCATGTTCCAATGAATATTTATTTATTTACTGGCTACTATATGCCAGGAATGATGTTAGACCCTAGGAGTACAGCAGAGAACAACAGCAAAAGATGTCTCTGTCTTCATGAAGATTATATTTTAATGGGAAGGAGGAATGAATAAGGAACAGGGGAATTTTAGATTGTGATAAATTCCATAAAGGGAATTAACAGGGTAATGTGTGGTCAAAAGTAATCACTGAAGACCCTCAGAAATAATAGTGAGCTGAAATCTAGAACCTTCCTTGGGAATAATGAGGAGGGGCATTTTAGGCAGAGGGAATACAAATGAAAGTCTCTTAAGCGGTAGAAAGTTTGGCCAAATTTATGAACATAAAGTAGGCCAGATTAAAAAAATCCCAGGGAGAGAAGAAGAGATTAGAATGAGGGGGGATTGGAGTGATAGGTGGTGGAGGGTTTGAATTTACTCTAAATGCAGGAAGCAAAAGGATAATTTTAAGTAAAGAATTAACATCTGATTAGTGGAGAGGGCAGAGTAGGCATGGTTGAAAAACAGGACAGCCTCCCTACTACAATATTGGCTTCCAACAATACGGATCAAATCTGTGTAAGAGTTATTATCACTGATGCGTTTATTGTCTGCTGCACCGTCTCAGGTGAGATTCAGGGTCTTAGTTTACTCATCTATAAAATGAGAGCAGATTTTGACTCAAGATTCTCCTCTCTACCGTGTTATCCTCCTAATTAGTAGTAGAAGAAAAATATCTCGACATAGAACCCTCTTATTTATAACAACAGCGCTTCTAGCATGGGATGATTGCATGTATGTGTGTGTTTCCCTATTTGTCAGTCAAAGGTCAAAGTGTAGAGGTAAAGCCTATGAATGAGAAAAAAATAACTATGAAAGCACAAATATTATTGCCAGTTTTTGAAAATATTTTCATTTGGGTTTGGGAGAGGAAAAATTAATAAGAATTTAGTTTTCTAGGATGGCAAGAGTTGGTGGAGGCACTGGGAGATGGTGGTGGTGGTGGTATTGTTAGCAAGTGAGTAAAATAATACTCATAATAATTTTAACATGATAATGATAACAGTAATGTAGCTAACAAAGAATGTGAGATTTGTTTACAGATTGGAGATAACAAGGGAAATAGAAAACGTCCAGTCTGACTCTAATACTCTGTGTGTATATCACCCGCCACTCCCATTTTTTCTTTTCAGATTCCCAATATCTAACTTGCCGAATGCAGAACTGCACAGAGGCCAACAGACATAAACCTTTCCCAGGCTACATTGACCCAGACTCTCTGATTGTCCAGGATGATTACGTGTTTGTTCAGGTATGAAAGATCCACTTCTACTGATTGTCTCAGACACTTCTCTTCCCTGTTTCTGTCCCTAATGCAGTCCCTTTTGCCTGCTTACACTCCCATAAGAGTAAAAAAGGAAGAAAGAAAGAAAAGCATTATCTTTTCAACAAAAGGAGCTTCTACACTAACAGAATATTAATTAGTTCCTCTGGGTACTGTCTGGAGGACCTTATCAACACGGAGTCCTGAGGCACTGCTTAGAGTATTAAGGTTGTCTCAGAATGAGGCACACTTCCATTCATACCCCTCATCTGCATTCAAAGACGCTCCCAGCAGTCTTGGACAGCACTGAGCAGATATGTCAATGTCTTCCCATCAGGAGAATGGTCAGCCAATCAGCCTCCTCCCCAACCCATCTTAAAAATAGAGAGACAGGTGGGAACAAGAAGCTGTGAGGAGGCTGGAGGTGGTGGGAGGCAAAGGCGAGGTGGAGAGTAATCAGCCATTATTGTCATGCACTGACTGTGATTGGGATAAAGAGAATTTACATGAGATGTATTGAGACAAGTTTTTCACCTCCAGAGAGAGTGGGAAACAATTTGAGAAGCTGAAATTTCCTGAGTGGTTAGAAGACACAGGGAGCAAGTATGCTTTGCTGCTTTTTAGCATTTAAGGAAAATTTTAGGCTTCTTTGGACAGGCATTTAAAAATTTGGTTATTGCTTTCCGTGTTAAAAATGACAAAGGTACAATTGCTAAACAGTTTATATATATATAGACACATGTATAATTTCACTGTGATTGAGACACATTCTAGACACTATTTATTTAGAAAGCAATAATTTAAAATATTTAATTCCATGTTTTGAGGAAGCAGATGTTCAAAATGCCTAATATCAGTCTATGTACTTTTAAAATGTTTCACAAATGATTACACACACACACACACACACACATTTCCTTTTTCTTCAAGGAAATGAGTAATGAGTACTCTGAATAACTTAAGCATCAAATTATCAAGTGACATTAAAATGGTTACACATATTGGTTCTATCTATAATTCATTTCTCTATTAGTGTTGCTCCTACGAACCTTTTCTGTTTTCGAATAACAATTTATAATCCACATATATGACTTAAAGTTAGAATCAATTCTGCATTTAGAGTTTCACATATCTTCTACCCAGGCCACTAGGAACGTGATCCTGTAACCCATCACTAGCACTAAGAGGTGATCTGCCCACAAAATGGTGAATATGGTCATTTCCAGCCACATTTTTATGTGTCTGATGAATATTCTCCCAAAGCATTTGTTGACATTCTGAGTATGCAAACACCTTCTAACATTCAAACTCCAGGTATTTATATGGGTTAAGAGTAGCTACACAAACTCATAGAAGCCGAAAGTAGAATGGTGGTTGCCAGGGGCTAGGGCGTGGGAGAAATGGAGAGATGTTGGTCAAAGGTTACAATCATCCACCTGTAAGAAGAATAAGTTCTGGAAATCTAATGTACAGTATGGTGACTATAATAAACAATACTGTATTACATACTTGAAAGTTGTTAAGAGAGTGGATCTTAAATGTTATTACCACACACACACACAAATCATAGTGAAATGAAGGGATGGAGGTGTTAACTAACTTTATTGTGGTAATCATTTCACAATATATATGTGTATCAAATCATCGCATTGTACAACCTTAAACTTACATATGTTATATGTCATAATATCTCAGTGAAGCAAGGGAAAAAAAGTGGCTGCAAAGGAGAGAGAGAGATTGGCAGTGGAGCCCTTGACTCTGCACCAGATGGTGCTCATGCTGAGGTGGGGACCACACCTCTTCTCACCCTCCCTCACACCCAGGGGTTTCATGGGACTATGCATCCTGGACAAACTTGAAGAGGTGGCCCACAATCCTATTCTGGAAGACAGAGCTCTGGAGTGGTTTTGGACCACGATCCTGGTTTGGCTTTCTGTCGAACACGTCATCAGCAGTGCTGTGTGCGGGACCTGCTCACAGTCATCAATGTGTCAGCACCAAGCTGGAATTCAGTGCCCAGAGATGTGAGGCTCCAGTTCTGCCACTGTTTGACCTGGACCATTTCTTTTTCCTGTGGCATGGGGACCTGTTTATATGGCTATGGGGCTAGAGAGCTGGGCTGCTGTTGCACATTGAGCCGATATACCCTGAGGCTTGTGTCATTAAAAAAAATAATAACGGAAAATGTTTCCTGGCTTCTGAGCCACAGTGCAAATTGAAGAATTTTTTTTTGTCCAGTGGGTTCAGTTTGGGCCTCTGACCAACTTACATGTGCTGTATAAGTTGTTTTTGAATTGAACGCCAATTCTTTACTCTTGTTGGCAATAGTCATTCATGTTGTTGTGTGGGCGTCTACCCACTTCCATTCAGTGGCTCTTCTTCTATGGCCCGTAACTGTTATAGTAGCTCCTTTTACAACCTTTGTGTTTATGATCCAGCTGACATCAGGAGGACGGCCACATTACTACGTGTCCTACCGAAGGAATGCATTTGCGCAAATGAAGCTGCCCAAATATGCTTTGCCCAAGGTATGACCTGAATTGATGTCTTCATTTCAATATTTCCTCTGATTCACGTATTCCCACTTTCACCCCATTTCCTAAGGATCCTTTCAGTCTCTTGTAGTCATTTATTTTTTTTATCCCCCATCTCTGTTTCTCAAGTTCGTTTTCTCCTCCAGTCCCCTGGAATTCTTGCTATAGCAGCATCTGAATAAATTGGTAACTGATTTACTTTTGCTTTTCAGTAGTAAAGATTTTTAAGCAGTATGTATTAGGACAAGAATATTTTCTAGCTAGACATAAAATATGCTTTGGATACATGGTATATATCAGTGCAACAGGTGTGATATATTTCTATACCATTTTATGGTTATCAGTTTACTGAGATGTGATGCAGCATTATATGGCATCCAACGTTTGCTTTCTCTCTCAATGGAACTTATGAGACTGGTTGTCTTTAGTTTTGAGGCACAGCTAATTTTTTAGATTTCTCCAAAGACATACTCCTTTGAAAATAGTGGCAGATAAAGACTCAGCAACTGCTGTCCCGGGATCGTTCCATAAACACTGAAGAACTGCGTTAATATGGAGCGCCACCTAGTGGAGGTCAAACTGACTTAGGAGCGCAAAGCTGTGGGTTTGCCGTCTTGCTGCCATTGTGATGTATTTTAAGTGGGCAGAAATTATGTATTATGCCTTGATCTTAGAGCAAGGGAGATGTGTGTGGCTGAAAGAAGGGGACTCTGTAGGTTTAAATATAGTTATATCTCATATTTGAAACCTTTGGGTTGAACAGAGAACATAAAGAACTTTTTTGATTGAGTTTTCATGACTTTCTCATATGCTGTCTTGGACCAACATCGGCTGGTTGTCCAGAAAATCCTGTGATAAATACAGCACAAGAGCATAGCAGATCTCTTCTTCCAGGAGAGCAAATGGTAGCTAATTGCTCTGGCTTCTGCAGTGGAATTCTCCGTCTTGACCATCACTCTGCCCCTAACCCTAGCATAGTGAGAGGTGGGACGTAAACCTCAGCCCATTAGAAGTAATAACACACATTAAATTGCACTATTAACTCTGAAGAGCTATATCCATCTTAGTAGTTATTATTATTTTCAGCTGCTAAGAGATTAACGACAGTGGTAATTGCCCAGAACTGTATGTCCGTGCCTGTATATATTTAAATGCCCCTTGCTCTTGATTTGGCTTAAAGTGTTTTCCCAAAAGACAAGTACTTACAACATTGGAGATCTTCTTTAGATGAGAACTGGGTAAAGTCAGTATATAAAAGGAAAGCTGAGGGTTGTTAAAATTATCCTTGAGAATCTTTTAAGAAGGTCTATGAAGGAGATGGTCATGTTACCTCAGTAAGTCCAACAGAGCTTGGTTTTTTCCCCCGAGTGGTGAAGTGAATTTGCCGTTTCTTTGATTGACCAACAAATGAAGTAGTTGGGTTGCAAGATTTACACCTTTAAAAATAAGAATTATGCTCAATTCAGTGAGATGCTCTTGTTCAGGAGGCATATGGGAATTGAGACCAAATCAGGAAGCAGCAGCTTCAAGTCACTCATCTCATGCTTGCTCTTGGGAATATAATGTTTGAGTGGAATAAGTTTTAGCAAAATCAAATCCTGTTTGCCACAGAATTGAGGGTAGAACTCAAGTCTCCTGACTTCCAAACTGGAGTTCTTTATATCATACTTTTCTTCCCTTGAAATAATTTAATCGATTCTACAATTAAAAGATAGCAGTACCCCCACCCCAAATTTTGACGGACTGAGTGGCATCAGGAAAAGAAGTTCCATTGACCTAAGCAACCCCAGAAACGGTAGTTTAAAATCAAAGAGACGTCTTTGGGCCTGTGCTGGCATTAGGAACCACACGCTTTGCATTGCTTGTTCATATCCATCACACACATCACTGTTGACTGTCGCCCCCAGTGGCATCTAGCCAATCTGAAAGGAAAAGTTTTACTTTGAACCTAAATTGGGTGTCTGTCCCCTCCCCCTGCTCTCTCAGATAAGCACGTTCCATTACTCAGCCTCATCTGAGGTCTGAGGGTAGAATGCAGTGATTAATTCAGCTTGTTCCCAGAAAAATAGGAGCCAGTATAGCAAATAAATGTACTACTTGGTCCAAGTGGGTGTTTGTTATTTAAGGCAATGAGATGCCTCATTATAATCCCATTACACCTTCAAAGAGAAGCCCCAGCTTGGGTGGAGTGGTCCGTGGCAAGGGTGAATATATTTTATGGCCTTCTATCAAAGCCAAGGTGGCTGTGGCTGGAAAAGAACAAAGCTTCATGCCCGCCAAAGGAATTAAGACGAACCAGCGCTTTCATGCTCGAATTTTCTTTAGTCATCCATTGCCATTGTCTCAGCTCTTGAAAGACCATGGTTACCCTGAGCTATGTCAAAAGAACGATTTAATATAATTGTAAAACTGATCAGAGATGGGGATGGGGAGATTTTAATATTGCTGTTGCCATTAAAAGCACAAGGCCCTCCAGACAGGGACACATAGTGACAGTTTCCTTCCCTTAACTTACTTGGAGCTCATTCTGGGCTACTCAAGTGAGATAAATGAGGCAATACATATGAAAGTGCTTTGAGCGTTTTGGAGGACAGATACTCTATAAAAGCAAGGTAATATTATTATTCGTGTGGATCTAGTTGTCTGTGTGGTAGAAGATGGATGTGAACTGGGATGTGTGTGGTGCAAAGGCTGCTTGATTTGTGGCGGGAGACCCAAATTCCGGACCTAGATCTGTCACCAACCTGTTTGGAAACCTTGGGCTGGTTTATCAATTTCTCTCTCTCTCTCTCTCTCTTTTTTTTTCACACTTTTAAAATAAGGAGCTTAGATTCACAACAATATTTTCTCAAGTGTGTTACTCAGAATAAAGTGTCTTTAGAGATGGTTCATGAAAATTTGGTTCTATGATCAAATAAGTTTAAAAAAAGATATGAACTTCATTCCGTGTTCCTTGCCTAGAGAGTAACAGTAGCTCACTGGTATGTTGAAGGATCTAGGATGACCTGCAAGCAAGAAAGCTAGATAATTCAGCATTAATCCAAACATTTTTTTAAAAAAATATATTAAAATACGATAATGCTGGTGTCCTATGGAACAGACTTCGGACAATGCTCTAGTAGAAGATCTCAAAGATCACTTCTTGGTCTAAAATTCTGTCTCAGTATAAGCATTCAACATAAAGTGCCATTTTGGGAAAAAGAGCATGTTTTCCTCATAGAGGAAGATATAGACAAGAAGAAAAAAGAGAGATGATATTTAAATATGTTAAATGTTTCAATTAAAATATTTAAGACCAACATAATTTTTAAAAAGTCTGTTCAATGTAGTTAGATTATGTGGAAAGAAATCTGATCTTGACCCTTATCTAGAGATGGCCATTTTAATCTGGTTTTGTTGTATGACTGCTTTTTAAGTAACTTAAACACTTGATGCATCTGTGTTTTCAGTTCCACATCTACCAAATAAAGGTTTGAGTGATCTGGGACAGTACAGAGGGTTTACTCTAGCCCCTAGGATTATTTAATGAGCTCTCTACTGTGACCCAGGCCTCAGACGTTTACCAGTACACAAATTCGCTCCAAAGCCACAGAGGTGGAAATTAGTGATGCAGGGACCAGGTTAGTGCTGAAATATTTTAACTTGAATTCAGGGATGATGCTACATCCTGCTGACAAGGAAGGAAACATGAATTGGGAATAGTTGTTTGAGGATTGTAGATGCCCGGGTAAGGATTTTGATCTTTGTCCTATAGGCAACCGGGGTAGGGGGGCAGGGAGGGCAGTGAAGGTTTGGCTCTCCATAAATGAATGGCCTTGGGCTGATTTCCACAGCTAATTCCCTCCATTAGAAAGAAACAAAACATTTGGATGAATCACTTTTTGTTGAGTATATTAGTTAGCACCCTGCGATTTGCAATGAACAGAAAGGCCAAATCAGCCTTGCTTCATCAACAAAGGGGATTTAAGGGCTTGCTTAACTGAAAATAGCTAGCATGTACAGAGCAGAAGCTAAGTGCCAGGCACTGTTATACATGCTGAACACTTACTAACTGATTTAATCCCCACAACTCCGTGGACGGCATCCTATTATCTCTATTTTGCAGGTAGAAATTCTGAGGCACAGAGTTCAGTTCATACAGCTAAGTTACAGAGCCGGGATTTGAACTTAAGTAGTTTTACTTCAAAGTCCATTCTTTTAACCGTTTTGCTCTGCTGTGCTGTCTAACTGAAAAGGTACAGGTGGGAAGGTTTCTTAGATAGGCACATTCAAAGACTCAAAGAATGTTACAGAATTTGGGCTCTCTCTCTCCACCTTTTTAGCCCACTTTTTTGGGATTGGCTTTATTCCCTGCCTCCAAGATATGTGTCCATCATAAATAGACATTTTTTTTTATTCTGATTGCTTACAAACTAATAGTAAGATATTTCTCTCTCTCTCTCTCTCTCTCTCTCTAATTATTCGACAGTCATTCTAGAATCATGTCTTATTGACTTTGCTTGGGTCACCTAGCCATCATTGATCCAATCACTATCATCAGGGAAATTGAATTTTTTGAATGCTAGGTTTACAAGCTCACTTCTGGTGCTGCGAGTGGAAGAAAGTAGCAAAGACTGAATATTGGGAGAAAATTTGTCTAAGAAAGATGAGCATGCTTTTCAAAGAACATCAGGCTACGATTGCAAGAAGAAACATAAATAGGCATTGGGAAGATACAAGACATGGCCAATTTTTATGCTAAACCTTAGTTTAGTATAAATAAACCTTAGTTTACATTATTGATCACGTCGAATTCATGGGCAGGTCTTATTTTTGGCTTCCCCCCTCTGGATTCTTTCTACAACAACATTATCAAACTCTAGAGTATGGCATGTAAGGCCTGAGTAGGGGTAAGGGCTATGGAACCCTTTGGATAAGGGTTCCTTCTTTGTTCACATGAGTTCACTATGATCAAGGCTAAAGAGGAGGGAGAGACTCATTCCCATATGTCTAAAGCAGAGTCAGAGCTGAGTTGTTGATTGATTGATTGAGAGAACATGGGCCTATATTACAATGAGAAATTTAGGTTATAAGTTAGGTAGAACCATCTGAGAAGATTTAAGTACTAAAACAGACAAAGGCCAAGAATCTTTCCATGTTTATCTTCTACCTTTGTGCTTATGTGTAATTCTGTTTTGTTTCGTTTTGACTTTTGCTTTTTGAAAGTTACACCAATATCTACTGCCTTGGGCAAAGGGTGAAAAGCTACCAAGAGCATTTGAGCAGGCATCCCCTACAGAAGACAGCAAGCCTTGGTCTGAGACTACAAGCTTTGGTCTGTGCCACTATCTCTGAGCATCCAGTTCTCTGGAGTTCTGAATGGGAGAAGAAAGGATTTGGAATTCCCATCCCAGGGCTATCAGCTCACTACCTCCTCATTACCTTTGCTTTGTTTCTATCTTCCAGGACTACCAGTCTGAAAACATCGTCAATGATGCAGACTATTTTTTCCCTCTTTTACTTAAGGTTTCCTACTAAAATGCTCAAGGTTTAAATAAGCAGATAAGTCCTTGAGCACTCATTAACATGGAGATTAGTGCCCTGGGATTTTTCCTCTGGGGTTTCAGAGCCTAGCCTTAGGACAGTGCTTCTCAAATGTTAATGTGCATATTAATCACTGAGGGATATTAAAATGCAGATTTTGATTCACTAGGGAGGCCTGAGGTTTTGTGCATCTAATAAGCTTGCAGGTGATGCCCCTGATGCTGGTCCATAGATCACACTGAGAGATGCAGAACTTGTCTATTTTCTCTCTGTCTCTTCATCTTTTCCTCCTATTTGCCCCATATAAGACTTCTGAGCATGTACCCTGTCTGTGCTTGGCAAATGTATCAGGATGACTGATTCTCCAAAGTCATACATATTTGAGAAAGTATTCTTCAAATTATCTAATGAGGCAATTAAATTATAACTCAGCTACCAAGCATTTCTCTGTCCTATTTTCTCATGACCTTACTGTATAACCCCACAAGTGACAAAGGAAACATATGATTAACACTTAACTAATTATTATTTCACAAATATGCAAAAGGAGAATCTCTATCTTCCATTACAGTGCCTAAGTGCCTATTCTGGTATTCCTCATTAGATGCTACACTGCACGCAGTCCAGGTTGACTTAATGAAACTCTTCTGCTTCACTTCCTTGTGTCTTTCCTCAGGACATGCACGTCATCAGCACAGATGAGAATCAAGTGTTTGCAGCAGTGCAAGAATGGAACCAAAATGACACATACAACCTCTACATCTCAGACACCCGTGGTGTCTACTTCACCCTGGCCTTGGAAAATGTCCAGAGCAGCAGAGGACCTGAGGGCAATGTCATGATCGACCTCTATGAGGTATGTCACAAGGCATATGTAGTCCTGAGTCACTGCAGTGCATGGATTGGCCCAACACGAGCTGTTTCCCTGATCATTTTAATTACTGATTCCTTATATGGCCTCATTCCATTTGAGAGAGGGAGGGGTTTGGAGACTATTTTTATCAGTTAATTTGCAATCCATAGATCATTTTGGGGGAGGGATTTACTTTTGACCAAGTCCACAGTCCATGAACTGTTGGAAGACTTGCAGAGTGTCTGGAGAAGCAGTCAAACAATTAAAGGGTTTGAACAAGAGTGATCCTAGTGTGAAATTTGAAAAATTGTCTTAAAGGGCCAACAGTGTGTCAGGGTGTAAGCAAAGGGGTAGTGGACACTCTCTCTGAAGAAAGAATAAAGATGACATCTTTGTATTGGATCAGAAGACATTCCTATGGGACTTGAAGACCTTTCTAACTAGATAACCTCCACTCCCTAACTGCCATCCTCTCAGAGGGCCAATGAGTGAGATAAGATTGATAGGTTTTTCTCTCCTAAATGAGGAGAAGGAGGCGAGACAAAAAGTAGAGTTTACCATTCTTCCCTAAAGGAGCTATGGCTCTTTGTTTCTCAAAATGACCAGGATTCAAAATAAAATCATGTATGTTGGATCAGTTAGCTTTCATGACAAATGATGCAGAGTAGGTGAGCCGAGGAGTCGAAAGAAAGATTTCTTGGACTCTCAAGATCTGGCAGCAGTGCTCCTCTATCTAGAAAATATTGTGGAATATCATGGGGACAGGACCCATGGGCAGTCAGGCTGCTGCGTGGGGACAGGGCCCACGGGCAGGAGGAGCCGCTGCTGCCCCCGCCACTGTTGCCATGGGGACGGGACCCATGGGCAGTCAGAGCTGCTGCTGGCATGGGGAGCTGCTGCTGCCACGGGCATGGGGACAGGACCCATGGGCAGGCAGAGCTGGTGCGTGGGGACAGGACCCACGGGCCAGAGCTGCTGCTGCTACTTCTGCTGCAAACATGAACGGAGTGTAAGGCTAATTTTAAGGCATGGGTATATGAGTCATCTCTTTACAAGACAAAGGAAAGAACATGAAAAAAATGTTAAAATGGTATCAGTGCAGGTGGGGTCTGGTCATTGGATGATCCCATGACTTTTAGACAAGAATCAAATCAGATTAAGTAAAGGTCAGAAGCCACCACCCTAAATCAGTTACGTGAGATTGCCAGACAGCAACCAACTTAAGTTCTTGCCTTCCCCATTAAGAGTTTCTAGGGACAAGGTCATCTTTCTTCTTCTTCCTGGTACAGAGAGCGAGGCACCTTTTACAGACAGAGATTTACCTTACAAATGTAAATGTGTCCCAACAAGGGCAAGTTCCATTCCCCAGAGCCTCCCTGACTGTCCCAGTTTATCAAAAGCAATCAGCCCCAAACAATCCTGATGCCTAAGAGACATATCCTGGGGTGGCCAATTTCAGGTCCCTACAAGGTCATCCCCCCTTCCTTCACAAATGCAAATCTCTCTCAAAGAGCAAGCAAATTCCAGTCCTCGGAGCCTGCTTCTCATCTGCAGTTTTAAAAGTAACCAGCCTAAAATCCTCATCAACAAACACCAACACTTTAGTTGCCATTTAAGGCACAGTTAGGTAGAAAGAAAGCTGGTATTTGGGGATGGATTTTAGCCATTCTCAGTCTTATCCTGTGCTGTAAAGGATTTATAATGGGTTTTAATGAGCCATTAAAAAACATATTCAGAATTTTGGAAGTGCAATCATATACTTATATTCTATCTGAAAAAAAATCCTAAAACTGATTCAAATAGGTACAGTCATAATGATGCTACCGTTTGCTTGAGTCTAAGTTCACTGAGTCAAGAGGTTGTTTGTATAACGAGAAGCAAGAGACTTATGTCCAGTCTGTCAAAGACAGAAACCAGTTTCGCTTAAGAAATTTAAACCTGTCATTGTAATTCCTTTTAGTGTTGTCTGTATTCCTTCTCCTTTAGGAGTTCTTAGGACTTTACTTCTAGTATCTAAACTTCTCTGTATATATGTATAAAGAAAGGCATGTTAACAAACTGTATGCCCAATTTAGAGCCCAAGTATTTGTAATGGAAATTATGGCAGACTAGCATAGGACATAGTTTGTGTGTATATATTTAGAAAAAAATCACTGCAGACTTTTTTATACATTCACAAGTTCCTTCCACTTCCTTTTATGCCCATGTTCCAGATAAATATAGTATCATATATCTCAGCCTCAAACTGAACGTGTTTTCTGGAAAACATTTACATAATCTGGTGATTTTGTTTCAAATTCATGTTGGGTAAAACTGTGATTTAGAGTATAAATTTTGGAGTCAGGCTGCCTGCATTTAAATCCTAGCTATACCACATGTATGTATTCTTGAGACAAATCCAATAACTTCTGAACCTCAGTTTCCTTGTTTAAAATATGAATATAACCATGGTATCAATTTGAGAGGATTTCTCTGAGGACTAAATAAGGTAATCTTCTTAAAGTACTGATCAGTGCTTGAAATACAGCAATGCTCAACAAATTATAGGTAGCATAATTAATATTACATTCCAATGAGTTTAAGCCCCAATGCAATGTTCCATTCTTATAGTCTTAAAATCTACCCACATTGTTTAAATGTCCAGCACATTTCCACTCTTTTGGGTCTCTACTCTCCCCATATTGCAATTAGCATGGCCATATGACATTCTTTAACACCAACTAGTTGTCTTCTTAGAAACGAGTGTAAATTGCCACATTCCTTTCCTCATTTGTAAATGTCTTATAAACATTTAAACTTTAAGTGTGTTTTGTTGAAATGCCATGCGTTATTTTGCCTTGATCCAGCACTCTCAATGGAAGTATCTCGCTCTGAGTATCTGGCTGGTATGAAGTCAAAGCAGCTGATTTTCAGGTTGCATCTTTCCCTTCCTTATCTTCTTTCCTCCTTTCAAGTCAATGTGGAATAGCTTCCCTGGATAAATTGTGTTTTCTGCCAAAATGGAGACCATTTTAATTGGTCCCTTGATGATAGAAAAGACGACAGGCTTGGACAGGAATGACTTTCCAATGTCATGTTATTTGCAACTGTTTTCTTGAATGGTTTTTTGAATTCAAACATCACTAACAGGTACAGAATGAGAAAAGGAAACGGTGACCTCTGGACATGGCAAACCATTTTTTGGTTAATCCTTCGGTTGCCCCTTTATATCTCTGGCAGTTGACTATCTATAGGGAAACTGCTGGCTCTCATTATCATCACTGTGAGCAGTGGTGTGACTGCATTATGTAAAGGTGTTCTGCATCCTGGGAAGAGCCTTTGTTTTATTAGCCTGACAGTTCACAGCAACTCGAATTGAAATTAATGTGATCAGAACGGCAGTGCCATTTCTGCTGATTACCTAGATAGAAAGAATATTGGCTAACACGGAACCTGGCACAAAAGTTCCTTAAATCTTACAGTTCTGGCTAGCAGGAAGCTGAAAGCCATCCAGCATGAATTTCCCAGTAGAATTGCAACAAATGATGAGTACTTAGCGATAAATGAAAAGTAAAAAAATCCATAAATGAATTAATAAAGAGCAGAGATGAGCACCAGATGAAGTGGGGGGTGACAGAGATAGAATACATGGAGCGCACGTCTGCTCACATTTGGGGTTGACTGAGGAGGATGACGTGCGTTCTTTGCTTGAATGCTTCTGCATGTCAATTACCTGCTGTTCCTGTATCTCTATGCTCTTTAAGCTATTTTAGCGGAGGCGATCTGTATAATATATAAGTGTATGATGAGTCTGTGTATTGAGGATATATATTGCTGATGAGTCTTTGTGGGAAATGCAGAAGGTAGCACAGTTCTCATTAAAATCAATCATTTTGTTCACACACACCTAGGAACCTTGTGACAAATGTGGTTCTCTCTACTCTAGAACCACATGTGTGTATGTGACAAGATAGGGAAATATTGGGGACATAGTCTTGGGGAAACATGTTACATGGTTTAGTTATTGAAATACCAGAATTTTCTCAGTATGAATTGCTCATTGAACATGGTTCCCATTCAAAAGAGTCAAGAAATGTGAACCGGGAAAGTTGGCTACAAAGCATAAATGCTAGAAACTGATTTTTCTTGATGAAAGATCATAATAACAATAGCTAATGTTTGGGGTGCCATCATGTGCCAGGTACTGTGTAAAGAACCTTCCTAAATTATCTCATTCAATCCTTATATTAACTTTTTGATGTAGGGACTATAATCACTCCCCTTTCAAACGTAAGTAAGTGGTGGCAGAGAGAGTACAATCATTTTTGCAAGATCACAAAGCTTGTAAGTGGCAGAATTAGGATCTGAATCTAGAGTGCAGAAACTCTTAACTACAAACCATTTTGTGTCTCCAGAAAGATCAGTATTTGCACTTTATTTGACTGTGGCCAAGTAATAGCCCTAAGATAGAGATAGAAGGACATTGAAGAGCAGGATGAGTAATACTAGACTTTACCTAGCAGAAGAAATCTGACAGGAAGAAGAAAAGGGTCTGAGGAAAAGCCAACATGAACAGAATCAGCAGATGACTGCTCTGGAACCATTCACCACCCTCTGAACCAAGTCCTGAGCCCACAGTTGGAGCTAAATTCAGACAGTGTTATCATGTGCCTCTCAATTTTGTGTGGTGGATGGGTTTGCGTAAGAGAATCTTAGAAACTAGTGTCCTATAATTCTGTTCTTCCTGAATAGCACAAATGTTCCAGTGGCATCATGTGGGATGGGTGACAGAATACAGCATGCCTGATGGTGGCCAGAGCAAAAGAGATGTGACGAGTGTGTCCGAGACGTGTGATTCCTAGTGTATTCATCTGGTGTGGATGATGAGAGGGGGTCTGACAGATCTGGACAATATCATCCCTCCTCTGGGAAGGGAATATTAATTAATGATGATGAAGAGCACTTTGGTTTAATGGACAATGACAGTTCACCCCAGCCAAGTGGAAAGAGTTGTATTGGGAGTG